AAAAAAAAAAAAAAAAAAAAAAAAAAAAAGAACTAGAATGACTTATTCTCATACCGTCACACCTCCAAACAACTTGAGTTTCATAAATAGTGTTGGAGCAAAGAAAGATTGGAGTCATGCAATCCCAGAATCCTGTTATCATTAATTTTCAGTCTGTATGCATGTTAACACCAACTACATTCTACTCTTATTGACCCTTTGCTCATCATTTTTCTGTACTATAACAAAATGCCTGAGATAATAAACTTACAGAGAAAATGGTTTATTTGGGATCGCGGTTTTAGAGGTTCCAGTCCATGAAGCTGCCCTGGGCACGTGGCACTGGCAGCACATCATGGTACAGAGTGGGTGATAGATGAAAGCTCACTTCGTGCCCTGGACATGAAAAAAGGGAGAGAAAGGAAGCAGTGGGGTCCCACTGTCACCTTCAGGCTGTGCCCCTAGAAGCTGGGAGTCTTCCCACAGGACGTCACTTGTGCACCTTCTCCGCAGGACCTTGCCTGAGCACAGTCCTGTCAGCCCCCTCCTGGCCAGCTGACCTGGCTGCCATCCGCTTTACTCATAACATTTGTTACTATCTAAATTTGTCTCGCTTATTAGAGTGGATAGGTGCAATGTTATGCAACTTGACCATTTTCCCAATTAACCCATGATAGTCTTCCTCTGTTGCCAGTGTCTGTTGAGGACTCACAAAGTACCAGACCGGAGGGACAGTCCGCACCTATGCCTGGCCACCCTCTGGGGACAGGCAGGAAGGCCCTGGTTATTTGGTGAAAATGATAGGCCAGCAATTTCCCCCTTCCATTTCCGACAGAACTTGGACACTTCAAAGCTGTCATCATCTTTTTATTGAAACTAGAATAGTTTTAAGTCTGCATATTTTCCTTTGCACTTAAAGCCGGTCCAGCTGGTGTTTTCAGTATTGCTCCTCCACCAACTAATCTCTTGCCAAAAATTGGTGTGATGTGGAAAACACACATGTGCGTGCATGAGCCCTTGGCCCAGCTCCAGCGACACTGCTCCTCCCTGCCGCACACTTGGAGGAGGGACCTGTCCCCTTCCTCTCGGGTGGCAGGTGTTCGCCTGTGGGTGTCAGGAGGGCCCCTTGCGCATTTCCCTGCGCGGCAGCTCTGGATTCCCTCTTCCGGGATTGCCGGACCTGCCCTGGAGTTGCTCAAGTCCCTGGGCGACCTCCCAGGCCCTAAGGCGAAGTGCCGGGTGTTCCTTCAGTTTCTCAGCCCCTTCCTCGCCCTGTGCCCTTCTGTGTTTGCAGTGGGAAGCAGACAGAGGGGAGAGCATTCAGTCCGAGTGGCCGGCAAGGAGAAGTGCGTCTATTTCTTCTGGCAAGGCCGGCACTCGACCGTGAGTGAAAAGGGAACTTCGGCCCTAATGACGGTGGAGCTGGACGAGGAGAGGGGCGCGCAGGTAAGATGCTGCTGGGCCCCAAGGGGAGCTGCCCAGCCTGGGCCGGCCCTTATGGGCACCTCATCCTCCCCACCGCAGTGTGATCTGACAGCCGGCAGCAGCCCTCACAGCCAGGCCAGGGCCAGTGGTATCTCTGACAGTTTCCACCTAACTGATATCTGCAGAATTGCAAAGCAAACGAGGAGGTTCATTACCCACTTCCAGAGTTGGTAGAGATTCTCCAAATCCTGGATGCCCAGCTGGCAAGGATCCAGTGGCACAGGCCCCGTCACACTCCCCTTGGGTGGCCCCACTTGGGACACCATCATGAGGAACCCCAAACACTCCATGGCTTGCTGCACTCACCCAAGTCCACGTGAAGGAAGCACCCAACACCGCACGGGGTATTCCCTGTGGACGAAGTCAACCCTGGTGATTTTCCAGAGCACACTGGATTGTGTCCTGGATCTCAGTGAGCTTCCCGTCATTTCCAGCCCTTCCTGGTATCCCTGCACACCTCCCCAGCTGTCTCCCTCCTCCTCTTCCCTTAGCCTGGGTTGCTCAGCCTGCACACAGATCCCAGACACACCTTTGGACACCCCCTCAGGCCTGCGCCTCTGAGGCACGCCCCTGCACACAGGTACAACACCTGGAAACCTGACTGTCTCTTAATGCCTGGCACCCAACCACTTGGGACACAGGTGACTGTTAGTGCCACACGCCCGTCAAGCAAACCCCTCCCACACCTCCCTCGCCCTCTGTCCGTTTACTATGCTGTCTCCTTACAGTGCTTTCTACCACCTGAAATACACAGCCACCCCATGCACTTATTTATTATCCATCTTCCCCAGGAGCAGCCAGGGCTGGTTGTACAGTGCCAGGGCTGGCATCATGTCTGACCGATTCCCCTGCCCAATCCCAGTGTGGTGTAAACTTCCTTTCAGTGTCTGAGTGATCCACGCCACTTGTCTCATCCTTTGGTACCGGAAATTAAGAGTTGACACTAGGCTTTTTGGAAACACAACACCATATTTCCCCATCTTGGATGAGTGACTGAGAATAGCTTTAGGAAAGAGAGCACAGAAAATCTCTCCAGAAACAGAAACACAGGTACTGAGCCTTTCAGAGTCCTCAGAACTGATCATCTTCCCTAAAAAACATGGTAATGCACATTTTCTACAATAGAACATTTTTAAAACAGTTGTTAGCAAGGGTTGCATTTAAGAGCAGGTCATCTCCACCACCTTTTCTTCTGTAAAGCCCTGGGTGGATGATGTTCTATTAATACCTTAAAAGCGTCCTCAGAGTTTGGGGTCTTCATCTCTAGATGGGACATGTTAGCTGTTATCAGTCCCCCACATGGAAACATCACTGTGGATATGGTATAAAACCCTGCCACAGGGCAGCACTTGATTGGCCTTTGTGCAAAACAGGCCAAGGTTGGAAAGCTGACTTACGGCAAGGACGGCTTCCTGTTGTTTGGTGTTGCCCCGCTGCCAGCTCAGCAAGAACGTTTCCTCTTTACGGGGAAATAGCCTCCCAAAGTGAGTGTGAGGCAGCTCACTGACCTCTGATGAGAGAGTGCGTGAGCAGAAGGAGCAGAGGTCCTGGGAGAGCCTCGGCGCTGCACGAGCAGACTGCTAGGACCATGCGGCAGCTTCCATTACCACGATCCATGTTGGAGGTAATCAGATGAAAAAGAAAAAAGGTTTATTGTGAGGTTCTGTTCCATAATCAGTTGGCTTTTAGGCCAACTTATTTTAGCCTGTGATGAGCTAGCCTATCATGGAGGAACAAAATTAGTCACATCCAGGAAGTAGAAGAGAAGAAGCTGAGGCCCCCACAGTCCCCTTCAGGGCCACACCCACAGTGACCTCACTTCCTCCACTTAAAGGTCCCACGGCCTCCCGGTAGCACTATGCTGGGGACCAAGCCTCCAAAACACGGGCCTTCAGGGATATTTAAGATCTGATCTCTGGCAGGTGGTTACAAAGGATGCGCCCCACCCCCAGGATTACCAAGTGAGTGATTAGTCCCTCTTGTTGCCAAGAGGTGCACTTTGTTCAAAGTGTGTTAAACCAATCGTGTTACAGCCATACCACGGAAAAGCATCGAAATATCAAAATCCATGTTTCAGAATATTCAACAAGAGAAAAATAAATAATGAGGGTACAAGGCAACAGAGAATAACACTCCGACTTTTGTCTGGGACGAAACATAGACCTGAAAAACACTTTGAAAGGAAGGGAGTACACATTACAGAGACACAGCTATCTTTGGGTGCAGTGTATCGCTGGCCTTTCTGTGTGAGTCTTGTAGTGTCCAGATTTCCTCCAATAGGCGTGCCCTGTGGTGTGAGCACGGGAGCCCGGCCCTGCTACCTGACCAACTGTTTAACTTTGAAGGTCCAGGTCCTGCAGGGGAAGGAGCCGCCCTGCTTCCTCCAGTGTTTCCAGGGCGGGATGGTGGTGCACTCTGGGCGCCGGGAAGAGGAAGAAGAGAACATGCAGAGTAAGTCACGTCTGCTGTGGGGATTCTTGAGGGTTTTCCTTCTCCCGGAAATATCTTTATGGGTAAGGGGTGGAAAGTGTGTCTGTCTTTGTCTAGCTGTGGCTTTACCGGTGGAAACCTCCTGGTATTCGCCTGATGGGTCAGCTCTGCATCCCCCTGCACATGCACACACACTGGAATTTCTTTTCAGACCCACCTTTGCATGGAAGAGGCTGGAAGATTGCTTTGCCTTGAACTAAACTCTCTGTTTGCGCTTTTTGGAGAGTAAAACAACCATGGCTCATCTACTGTAAATTGTAATCTCATGTCGGCCAGCGTCCCCCCACCAAAACCAATCTGAGCTTTAGAGCTGTGTGCCTTACTGTGTAAACTATGGAGAAGAGGCTTTTCTGCATCCTGAACTTTTGGCAACCTGCTTCTAACTGACTCCAAAATGATTTGCTTTGTGGGAAGCCCAGAGGTGGCCCTCACTCAGCTGAATGGAGGCTGCAGGAGCCTCAGTTGCCCTGTTCCCCGGAACCCTACCCTGTGTGGTAGCTGCCTGCGTGCCCAAGGACAGCTCTTTCTGTCCACGGCTGGGCCTCACTGTGCTGCTGGCGCCCCTTGCAGGTGAGTGGAGGCTATACTGTGTGAGAGGAGAAGTCCCGCTGGAAGGGAACTTGCTGGAGGTGGCCTGTCACTGCAGCAGCCTGCGGTCCAGGACCTCCATGGTGGTCCTCAACGTCAACAAGGCCCTGATCTACCTGTGGCACGGATGCAAAGCGCAGGCCCACACAAGGGAGGTGGGAAGGACTGCAGCAAACAAAATTAAGGAACTGTAAGTATGATGTGCCCATGAAGGGCGGTCCTCAGAAGGGGCCTCCCAGAGGGGTGAGAGCAAGCCAGGGGGCAGAGAACCCCGTGGACACATGCTCCAAGACGAGGGGACATGCGGTTAGCCGGGACGCTGAGGTGAAGGGGTCTCTAGCTTTCTGAGATTCACCCACCTCAGTATGGCAGCGCTGAGTGAGTGCAGTAGTGCTGCTAGTCCCAGCCTCGTGGGAGGCTGAGGCGGGAGTGTTGCACGACCCAGGAGTTTGAGGCCAGCTGTAACAGAGCAAGACCACATCTCCAAAAACAACAACAACAACAACAAAAACAGGCATTGCTAAGGGCAAGGGAAATGACCAACAGACACATTAGCATCATCCTCATCGGTACAATTCAGCTTTTAAATTATAAGCCTGGAATCCTTTGGTATTTAAAGAGCAAATTCTAAATATCTCCCAGGGATTCTAAGTCTTAGTTTTGTCAGAACAGCAGGGGAAGCAGCGGGAAGACTGTGAGGCCTGGAGATGTCCCCTGTGGAGAGAGCAGCACTGCAGTCCTGCTCGGGACGAGTTCCCCACAGGGTCCCCTGGGCACTGAACTCGGTGGGGGTCTTGTCCCTCACCCCGGAGGCAGAGGGAGACCCAGGAGCCCAGGGACGGAGAACTGAAGGCGCTGTCACTCCTACCCACACCATCACCTGGCCAGGTGGGCGGCCCTGTAGCTGTTCTTCACGGAGGCAGAGGAGCCTCACGAGGCCTCAGTAGCTTCCCCGTTGGCCCCCACATGCCAGCAAAGCACAGTATGGCACAGCCGTCCTCCTAGCCCCAGCACTGCAGGGCCTGACTGCCTCGTGAGCGCTGGAGAACTTCACTCTTCAGGAGAGGGTGGTGAGGGGAAGGGACACGAGGGGCCTCCTGGCCAACAGACAGCGGGAAGCAGGCTCTGTGGGCTGCAGAGCAGGGTGGGAGGGGAAATTGTGCTCGGTCCCGCCACTGTCTTTACCTGGACCCCTGAGAAGAAAACAGCGAAGAATTCAGGCACACATTTACTGATGCGCCCAGCACGTATCTATCGAGCTTCTCTGGTGCTCAGCGTAGATGTAGAGACTAGGACTGGGCAGTGAATAAACCCACACCTTTCTCCTCGTGACGTTTATGTTCTAGCAGGAAGGACAAGAAATAGTCAAAATGTTGTGCTACATGTTAACCTGCGGATTATTTTCGCTGCTTCTCGTACGTAATCGTGTAATCCTCCCTAGGGCCAGCCAGCCCTTCCTCTTCCAGCTCAAACACACTCATAAACTAGAGAATATGTTTCCACTGTTAGCAGAACTGAAGAAAGACGAATTGAGTGGGCCGATGCATTGGCTGTGTCCTCGGCAGTTTGTGCCGCTAGCTCTTCCCTGGTGTACAAGGCCCCACTGGTGTTTGTCCCACGCAGATGCCCTCTGGAAGCCGGACTGCACAGCAGCAGCAACGTGACGATTCACGAGTGTGAGGAAGGGTCTGAGCCCCTGGGCTTCTGGGACGCGCTGGGCAGGAGGGACAGGAAAGCTTACGACTGCATGCTTCAAGGTAATGCCGCGGCCCATGGCCCTGTGCCGTTTCTGATTCGCTCTCTAATTTACTGAGCACACACTATGCCCAGCAACAGTGACCCAAACCCAGGCTGTGTCCTCCAGGCCTGCCACCCAGTGGAGGGGCTCGTGATAGGCATATGTGAATAATTATAACCCCAAACGCAATTGCAGTGTATCATAGAAGAGGCGCAGAGGAAGGACTTTGAGAAGACTCCCACACCTTTGTGGAAAGGGAGGCGCTGCACAGTCCCCCGGAGGTTGGTGCAGTGTGGAGAGAAGAAAATTCCAAGGAATGAGCAGCAGCGCTCCGCCGTTCAGTCACCCAGCAGCCAGGCACAGAGAAGCAGGGAAGGCCAGGGAGAGAGGGGTCCAGGCCACAGCAGGCAGGGTCTTGACTGGGAGACCCGAAACCCTGAGCCAGTCACAGAAGTCACTGCTGGAAGGGAGGCTGGGAGGGCATGCAAACCTAGGATCAACACAGGGAAGTTCACAGTGGCCTGTGAACTCAGAGCCTAAAACTCAGCTAGGTTGAGAGGTGACTGCTGAGCAACACATGAGTCAGCCATTGGGGCCAGGCGGGAGGAGGAGCAGTCGTGGAGCCACTGGGCTTCGTGCAGAAGCCTCAACCTCTCTGTGGCAGAGCAAGGGACACAGCCCTCAGAAAGGGCAGAGAAGATGCCGGGGATTTAGCTCAGCGGTTCGGTGGCCTGCCTTGCAAGCACGAAGACCCGAGTTCAATCCCTGGTAC